CTTCTGGCCAGCTCTGGTTTGGCTATATTGGAACCATTTAGTTGGAGCTATCCTCGAATAAATCATTGCACCTAAATCCTATTGTATCTGACTCGAGAGCTGAGTCAAATAGTTCATCGAGAAATAAATTTTCTTCATAGATTTATTCAAAGTGACATAAATATCTAGGAAATAAATTGCGTCATTTTATGCCTTTTCAAGAAAGACAAGTGATATAATAAGCCTATCTTCATGAGAGTTATCAAAATGGTATAATCGTCAATGAGCTTCTTGAGCCTATTCATTTAAGATTTAGTTTATTTGCTTTTCAACATTTTAAGCTCATTTGTGAGGAACATTTTCAAGGGGAGGACTTTATTCCACATATCAGGATCTAAGTTTCCGGAAGCATTCGAATTCTTATTTTTCGTATGCAATTAGGGTTTCGGGACTACCACATCGGCGCTGTGACTCAAGGGCACTCGTGGCAATGTGGCCGAATGGTTAACGTGGCAAGCTCACATGCTGTACTGTCACGGTTTGACTCCCGCTGGTGGTGTTGATAAGACCTTTGTGAGGTCGAAACTGCAGTCTACCCCGAATGAGAACAACTTTTAGGAAAGCAAGGAATGGAAACGTCAGTTTTACTCATATCATTGTGGGAAAATTCTACTACTAGTCCTTCATTGTCTTAAACGAAATAGGGTGATTACGTCCTATATTCGAATCCCTTGTTCACAATTCACATCAACAGGGGAAAAAAGGTGCGGCATGCCTCTTAAGTAAGTCAAATGAAAGCTACAACGATGCTAGACCGTTGATACATGATTGTAAATATATATTAAGATATTCATTATTATCTTAAATATTATATTTAAATACTGTAGAAGATAAAGCCACTAGCTCAGTTTGCCTAGGGTTCCTGATAGAACTATCAGTAACCTAGCCCAAAGTGGAGCCATTAATGAGCTATTGGCTCCTCGAAATTCGATTCTAAAATCATCCAATTTCCATTGGGATTTCGCCTTTTAAAAAGCCCAATATACAAATGATACCATGGCCACACTAGCAAACGCTACGTATAGCCATACTGGATTATTTTTAGGAAGCTTAACGGCCAAAGGTATTTTATGAGAGGGTCTGGGGGTGACTAAGAGTGGCAAGTGAGGCGTGTTCGTCAGTTTG